AACTGATTGCAAATACTGGATATGAAATCGGTGCTGGCGGGATGACTGAAGGGGCTTTATGATGAGTTGAATTGTCCTAACATTACTTCACTATCTTCTCCTCAAATGTTCAAATCACTCAATGACAAAGACTTCTCCGTTTGAGTTAGTTCAATGGGTTTTTGCCCCATGTATTGGGATCCAACTTGCAACCTCTCAGATTGGTGTTCAGATTATCTCTACATCTAGGTTTGGGATGTCCAGATTCCCATGCTGCTTTTTGTTCCTGGGAATCCTCCATGTGAATCACATGACCAATCCAGAGAAGCTGAGTTCTGGGCAGTATCCTCTCAATGGTAGATAGGGAGCATTTTGCAAAAATCTCCATGTTGGGCTTTTTATCTTGCCCTGCAAAGGTGCAAATAGACATCAGACTGTGAAAATGGAATAGTTCCAGTTGTTATATTTGACATCAGTAGATTGTCCAAGTCTCGTACTCGTGAGAAATGATGTAAGAACCACTTGCTTGCAGATTTTGATCATTTGTTCTGAAACAAATTCCTTACAGTTTCCACAGTCTGTGAGTGAGCCTGACAAGCATTCGGCTTGCTTTTGCCAGCTGATGATTCATTTAATCATCCAGCCTAGTGTCAATGGATAGTCCCAGGACAGGAAAGTTTCTGCACTGAGTGCAGTGATGTGTGTTCATTAGTGTGTGTGCGGCCTATTTTAAAATTAATTCATGGGATGTGGGTGTCACTTGCTGGGTCCACATTTATTGCCCCTCCATAGTTGCCTTTGAGAGGGAGGTTATGCGCTGACTTTTTGAACCACTGTAATCCATTTAGTGTAGATATCCTGCAATGCCATTAGAGAGGGATTTCCAGGATTTTGACTCTCACATATAAGAAATGACATATGCAACCCAAGAAACAGCATAACCATTCAAAGGACACATGGGACTTTTAGTTCTGCTGGATTTGATTGAGTATCTCTGATGACGAAGGTATGAATATTTGAGTTTGGTGATGATCATTTTCTCCTTAATTGGGGCAAAGCCAACCTTTTAGCTCTGTAATCTTCTATACAGAAATTTAATGTAAATTTACCTACTAATGGATGGACTTTCTACTTAAACATTACTGTAACAATATTTGTATTTAAAATTGTATTCTTTACTGGAAATATGATTGCATTTTCTGTCTTTTCCTAGAACCATTAATGCAGAGATTGATCGCCTCACTACCTGTGAATTGCATATCTAATTCTGTGATAAACTTTTATATATTTTTAGATTAATATTGTCTTACAATACACATGAGAGAAGTGATGACATATTGCAATTATTCCTAGATTATTAATGCTGGGAACCCGATACTGTTCTGGGGACTCGGGTTAGAATCTCGCTATGGTAGATGGTGGAATCTGACTTCAAATGAAAATGTGGAATTAAGAGTTTCATGATCATCATTTAATGATGATCATGAAACTTTTCTTGGAAGAACCCATTCGGTTCACCACTGTCCTTTAGGGGAGGAAACTACCATCCTTACCTGGCCTGTGACTGAAGACCCATAGCAAGGTAGGTGACCCTTAACTGCTCTCTGGTCAAGTATGGATGGGTGGTAAATGCAGTCCTAGCCAGTGATGCTCACATTCCATGAATGAATAAATCCAAGTATTCTTCCGCATCATTAACTCATGAACCCTTTTCCGTACACGTTTTGGAGGGGTGGTACATTATTGAGGAGAGATTCTTAGACTCTCATAACACCTGTGTTATTATAATCTGGTTGTAACTTGTTACTTTTTTGAAGACTCAATTCTTCTTTTCCAAGAGGAGAGTTAGAACAATCTTTCATACACATTCACTATATTTAGGATCTGCCTCTCTCAAAGTCAGAGTGATCATTTGAGAAGTCTGCCTGATCCCAAATGGTTCCACGGAGGGTCTAGGATTATAAGCCACTACAGACATCTGGTAACCATGGTGACTGTAAGCAGGAAAGTTTTTACTATGTGCAATGCACCCTGATAAAATACATTCTACCTAAGCTTTATTAAGCAACAGTGAATGAAATGTTTGGCAAAATTAATTAATTCATACTGCAGTTTAACTACTGTGTGGGGCAGAGGTAGTTAAAATAATATGTAAAAATTCACATAAGCTTTAAACCTAGCTCAGAGTTGATTTATAAACTTGCTGATCTGTAACAGAATAAGTACAATTAATAAATTTGATCTTCAAAATGATTTAAATCCTGCAATTGAGTACGTTTTTATTTCATATTATCTAAAGTTCCTGAAAGAACTTGCCTGAATTGCAAGAGAGTATATTTAATTAAATTAATGATATTATTCTCTGTGATGATTTTATAAAATTATTATTCACACAGTGGAATGCACATAATCCTTTAAATTCTCAGTACGTGCTGATTCTCACTCACATGATAGATGCTCTTCAGACAGAATCTTGGGAGGGCTGCATTTTGCCAAAACTGGCAAAGTGTCAATTGCAGGGAGTTTCACGGAGAGTTTCTCTCTGTGAGTTTTACTGACTTTTCTCACCTCATTGCACCTTGCTTTAAGATGCCACACCCGCACAATCTTGTGCTCACCAGCGGCTGATATAGTCACCACCAGTGCCGTATTAAAACCTCAGCTGGGTGCCAGGTTAATCACTGCCAGCCAGAAACTGTCCTTCGCTGCTGCACTATCAGAAAACTTCCCTAGAGCTGGCAGATGGGCACAATCTGCTGACATGGACCTGAAGGACCTGGTGAGGGGGGTGGTGACTGGAGGGCTACCCTCTTGCCACACATAAGCTAGAGCATCCATGGCACTGGACCCTGCCATTCTGGTCTGAAGTTGTCACTTGGTTCAGTATGGTTTCCATAAGGCTGGAGTAATGCCCAACGGTGCAGATACTACTCACTTCATGAGAGTAAGTCCCATCATCTTCTATTAACTCACACTCACTGTAACTCTGCTACTGTACATACTTCCCAACAAGGCTCATGGTCTACCACTCTCACTATCTCATGGAACATCTTCCCTCAATCGCTCTCATCTAGCAATGCCCCTTCTGCATTACTAATGCTGCATGCCCTGTGCACTGCCAACTCACACACTTGGTATACCTTACCATCTTCCTCCCTACATGTACCAGCATTAACAGTGGCATCATTTTATTTCCTCCCTTTCATACGTTGAATCCCTGCAGTGTGGGAAGCAGGCCATTTGGACCATCAGGTCCACACCACTCCTCTGAAGAGCATCCTACCCGGGCCCACCCCCCTACCCATGGCTAATCCACCTATCTTGCACATTCCTGGATACTTTGGGCAATTTAGTATCGCCAATCCACCTAACCTGCACATCTTTGGACTGTGGGAGGAAACCCAAGCAGACACTGGAAGAATGTGCAAACACCACACGGACAGTTGCCTGAGCTGGAATCGAACCTGGGGTTCCTGATGCTCTGAGGCAGCAGTGCTAACCACTGAGCCACTGTGCTGCACCTTTGTCTTATTCCAGCAGAAAACATCCCACATAGAGCACTGAGGGCCAAGGCACGTATTGTAATGTCTGACATTTGTCTACTCAGCCCCTAGGAGGTGAGAATCCTTATGGGAGAGGACCCGGATTGCTTATGTGGTGATGTGAGGTCTTCATGAGCTGGTAAACAAGTAAGATTCATTGTCATGTGCTGTGCTGCTGTCCCATTACATCACTGTGAGTGTATCCTGCCTAAACCTCTACGCTAATTTCACAACTCACTGTCTGTCTTGTCTCCTGCATGCACCAGTCACATCTGTAGAGTATCTGCCATGAGCAGACCAGCCCCTCAAGACATCATTCCATCCCCCCTCTCTGAGGAAAAAGCCACAGGTCTCTAAAGGATGCACTATCATGGAACTCTCTACCAGCTCAGATATTGACTCAGCAGTGGGTACTTTAGCCTGTCTACAGCTGGGAAAACATGAGCTCATTGACAGGATGTTTCTTCTTGTGCGTGAGTCCAGGAGACACTCTTAAAATTAGGGGTTACCCTTTTATGAAGGAGATGAGGTTTCAGAGCAGTGCATCAGAAGTCAATGAATGTGGGATCTTTAAATATTTTTAAGGTGGAAGGAGATGGACTTTTGTTAGGTCAGGGATTCGAAGGTTACCGGGGTAGATGGAAATGTGAAGTTCAGAATGCAAACAGATCAACTGTGATCTCAGTGAATGGTAGAGGATGCTTGAAGGGCCAAATGGCCTACGTCTGCTGCTAACTCATATCTTCATAAGAGGAATAAGAAGCATCACATGAATGGATAGTGTTGAAATGTGGACTGAGGAATGAATGCACAAAAGGCCCAATAGCAAGACAATATAAATAGTTCCACTTGGGCTCTAGTGCATTGAGCTAACAAAATGAGTTTGTGATCTAATGCCTGTCTAAAACATACCAAATGCACCTAAATAATGTTTCAGATGTTCTTTCAGCATAGACAGTAGTCCCTTGGTTGTGACACTTATGTCCAGAAAATGGTACGACAATGCCTAATTTCTACTGTAGTGAATCCCTTGGTATGCAGAATATAAGGACATGTAATATGTGAGCACCTTCGGGGTAGAATCTGAGGGGCCACTTAACTGAGGCCTCTCTGTGCATTAAGTAGGTTGTATGGCATTGTGGCAACTTTACCTTTGAAGTTTATTGTCATCTCTTCACTTTTCAAGTTATCGCACAAATCCAAAACAAAACCAGAAATTGCTGGAAAAGCTTCAGCTGGTCTGGCAGCATCTGAGGAGAGAAATCAGAGTTAGCGTTTCACGTCCAGTGACCCTTCCTCAGAACACCGCACAAATTCTTTTGCCAGTGTGAGATCCATTTTAGAAAGCAACGTATTACTGTGAAGAATAAAGAAAGAAAAACAAAAACAGAATCACATTTTTTAAAATCCAATAAAAGCATGTTTTTTCTTAGTCTGCTGGTCTGCAGTTAATAATAAATCGTCTGTGCAATTTTCCAGGTCAGATGCTTCCCCTGACAAAGCAATGGAAACTCTTGCTATGCGCACTTTATTTTTGGGTAAGATGTTCCTGGAAGAATTCGGAATTTCATGCTGGTGCTCGTCAGAGGTCTTGCTCGTTACACTGTTCATAACTTTGAACTGGTTTCTGCACCACTACTGCAGCCAGTGGATCTATCTCCAGGCGAATGGTGTCCCTGTCAACAAGTAGGCTTTCTGGTCTTCATATTTATGTATGAGATGCTGAGATACAGCTCAAAGCAAACTTTTTCAACTTCGTAACTAGTTTATTTGCTCTTTATCCGAGGAATCAAAATGACATGACAAATGAGTTTGTGTAGAAAAATGACATGGAGAATCAATTTTATGTATTTATTATACCACAGTGACCTCTTGAAGAGTATATATTGAGAACTCTTATTTATCTTTGAAACATATTTCATAATCCACTGTCTCACAATCATCGGTAAAATTCTGAAAGTAACTGCAAAGCTTTAGTGGAATTTTGAGGACGATAGTTATTCATCGTCATGTGATGCATACAATCTAATTAATGGCTTATCACCAATCCCAAATTTTATGGAACATACAGCTTTTGTTTAAAATTGCTCCAAAACAAGATTTTCATCCATCAACCACGCACCTTACCTTCCCGTTCTGTCTGTTCAGGATTTAGCATTCAAGCCTTTAAATAGTCATTGCAAAAGGGAACTGTCTTCATGAAAAAGTGTCTTAATTTATTTTCAAATATGTGACGCCATGGCATAAAACCCATTGAAATGCATCATCCTGTCACTACCCTGTGACTTTGGAATACAGATGATGCAGAGCTCATTCCAGCTTCCCTCCTTTCTGATATGAAGAGAAAAGGATTCCGCAACAAGCTTTCACAGAGTTATTTCCCCTCTAACTAAAAATGTTAAATAATGAAAGGTTACTGGACCTGAAACGTTAACTCTGCTTTCTCTCCACAGATCCTGCCAGTCCTGCTGAGTTTCTCCAGCAATGTTTGATTTTGTTTCAGACTTCTAGAATCATCAGTTCTTTGTTCTATTTTGACTGTTAAATTATGCTGTGCTGTGCTACTACAGGAATGTTTAGCAAATTCACCAGCCTTTCTCATTTTTAATAATTTGGTAGAGCTTGGAAACCTCCTTAGTCCTTCAATTAAGACATCATTTTGTCTACAGAAGACAAGAATTAGTGCTTACAGTCTCAGGATAAGGTGATGGCCACTTAGGACTGAAATGAGAAGAAACTTTTTTGCACAGGGATTTATGAATGTTGAAATCCTCTCTGCCAGTGTACAGATGAGTGTATTCAAAATTGATAGATTTTTGAGCACTGCAAGAATCTCAAGAATGCAGTGGGAATGTTGAGTTGAGACAGAAGATGAGTCATGAACTTATTGAATGATGGAGCAGGTCTGAAAGACAATATAGCTTACTCCTATTGTGTTCTTATTCACAGAGAGGAACTTAAGACAAACATATTACTCATTGGTATGCTGGGATCTCACAACATAATTTTAAACTATAATCGTTCACATATTCAAATTTATTTTTCTATAAATGTCATCAGAAAAAAAAAGAGGAGACATTTTAAATTCTTTCTAACTAAATCCCATCCAATGATTAGTATGAAAAGAATGACAAATAAATATAAGGCATTAATACTGAAAATGGCAGCATTAATTAGATCTGGTGTAGAAACCTTCTTCAACTCAAACTGCTCTCTTCAGATAATTATTCTTAGTAGAGCAATGTTGTTTTGGGTGGGATCATGTAAAACGATTGCATAACTTATTTTTTGAATCATAAAATGGCTACATAGAATTTTTCAGCCCAGAAAGAGGCTATTTGGGCCATTACATGCCTGTTCTGGTTGGAAAAGAACTATCCAGTTTAATCCAGCTCTTGTTCAGTAGTCTTGAAGGATGTGGTATTGGTTCAGTGCAATGTAGGTTTCTGTCCCTAACATCATTTCAGGCAGTGAGTTCCAGATCCCCATCATCCTCTAGGTGAAACAAAATCTCCTCAACTTTCCTCAATCCTCACAATTACTACTAAGTCTATGTCAAGCATTAATTGGACCTCCTTGTTTAGTGAAATATGACCTTAATTATTTTAGTGTACTACAAGACCATAAGAAATAAGAACAGGATTAGGCCATTCGCCCCCCTGAGCCTGATATGCCATTCAGTAGGATCATGGCTGATCCGACACTCCTCACATCCACTTTCCTGCCCTTTCAGCATAACTATTGATTCCTCTACTCAGTAGGAATCTATCTATCTCAGCCTTAAATATGCACAAGGAGTCTGCCGCCACAGCTCTTTGTGGCAAGGAATTCTAAACACTCACAACTTCTGAGAGAAAAACTCCTTCTTCATCTCAGTTATAAATCAATGCCTCTTAATTCTGAGACTATGTCCTCTGGTCCTAGACTCTCCCATGAGAGGAAACATTCTGTCAGCATTTACCCTGTCAAGCCCTTAAGAATCCTATATGTTTCAAAGAGATCACCTCTCAATCTTCTAAATTTCAATAAGTAGAGTCCCAGAATGTTTAGCCTTTTCTCACAAGTCAACCCCTCTATATCGGGGATCATCCTGATGAACCTTCTCCGAACTATCTTCAATGAAATAACATCTTTTCTTAAATTAGGGGACCAAAATTGCTTATAGTGCTCCAATGTGGTCTTACCAGCACCTTGTACAATTGCAGTAAGACCTCCCGACTCTTATATTCCAACCCCGTCGAAATAAGGGCTAACATTCCATTGGCATTCCTGATTACCTGCTGCAACTGTGTGCTTGTTTCCTGTGTTTCAGGCATAAGTACCCCAAATCCCTTTGTATTGCAACTTTCTGCTGTTCCTCTCCATTTAAATAATACTGTGTTCTTTTGTTCTCCCTCCCAAATTAAACAGCTTCACATTTTCCAAAATTATATTCCATTTGACAACTTCTTGCTCACTTACTTTCTTTATCAGTATCTCGCTGTAAACTGTTTGTATCCCTCTTGCAACCTGCCTCTCCAACTATTTTTACGTCATCTGCAAATTTGGCTACATTTGCTTCCTTCCTTGAAGTCATTAATAAGTTGCAGTTCCAGCACTGATTCCTTGTGGATCCCCACAAGGTTGCCAAGCTGAAAAACAGCCCCTTATTCACACTCACTGTTTCCAGTCCATTAGCCAGTTCTCTATCCATGCCAATGTACCATCTCTTCCATTGGCTGTTATGAAAACCTTCTGTGAGCTGCATCATTGAGTGCCGTTTAGAAGTCCATGCAACACATCTACTGGTTCCCGCTATCTATTCTGGTTGAGTCTTCCTTGAAAAACTCCACAAAGTTAGTCAGACATGATTTCCCTTTCATAAGGCCATACTAACTGTGCTTTATTGGATTATGATTTTCCAAATGTTCTGCAATTATTTCCTTAAAAATTGATTCATATACTTTTCCAACAATAGATATTAGGCTAATGGTCCTATAGTTATCTGCTTTTTGCCTCCTTTCCATTTTGAATAGGAGTGTCACATTGGCAGCTTTCCAATCCTCTGGTGCTTCTCTGGATTTTTGGAAAATTACAACCAGTGCATCCATTTTCACGGCAACTCTTTTAGAATCCTAGGCTGCAAGTCATCAGGGCCAGGGGATTTATCTGCCTTTAGCCCCATTAGTTTGTCTGATACTGCTTCTCAGTGATGGTGATGGGACTTAGTTCTTCCCCCGCATTCTTTAGTGTTACTGGGATGTGTGAATTATCTTCCACTGTAAAGACTGATGCTAATTTAACATAATCAGGGAATGTGGGCCTGCACTTATTGCCCATCTCTAGTTTCCCTTGAGAAGGTGTTGGTCAGCTTTCCTGTTGAGGCAGTCCTTTTGGGGTAGGTACACCCAGTTTGCCTGTACCTCAGGCAGTATGTTGTGAGATTAGTTTCTAACTGTTCAAAATCTTACAGCAGAACCTCTTTTCCTTTCCTGTCAATGTTGTCAGTACCAACATGGAGGACAACAACTAGATCCCTTCCCTCCAAATCCCAAGTTTCTCTCCAGCCCCAAGGAGATGTTGTTAACCTTGACAACAAATAGGCATCACAGCATTTGTGACTCATGCCGATGGTTGCTGAGAACAGTATCTATTCCCCGACTTATATTGTCCACACCACTACTGCAATCCTATTTCCTCTTCCCAGTTGAATGGCTTCCTTCGCCAGGGTGCCATGGTCAGTTTACTCATCCTCTCTGGTATCCCTACTCTTGTCCTCACAGCTTGTAAGTACCTCATAACTGTTGGATAATTGCAAGGACAGGGGCTCCTCAAGGGTTGCTGCTTGAATCCCCATATCTGTCTCACCTGCATCACACCCTCCTGCCCTTGCAAGTTTGAATTGCCTACACAAAGAGGTGTGTCCATCACTAGGAGCAAAGTGTCCATGTAACTTTCCCTCCTGACTGATGCAGCACAATGTGTGCAGCTCAGATCCCAAGATTTACAGGCAATAAATGGAAACAAATTGTTCATAAAATTTTTCTGTCTGCCTTTTTTTTAATCTCTCTCTCTCTACATCCTATGTGTTTTTACAATCTATATTTCAGTTTCTCTCCACGGCCCTTTCTTTACACATTTTGGTTTAGACCCTGTGTGACTCAGTGAGGATTCTTCAGTCTGATTGGTTGAAGAGCTTTACTGGTGCTCCCACTGCTCACACAGGATACCCTGTAGTGGGTGCCACACTCGATTAAAGGAAGTCTCTGTTTAAAAGCCTGTAGGCACCTGTCAGTGAGGTGCATGGTGGGTGTCATTCCTTCTTCAGTGACGGCATAATTTGGGCCAGGAAGGGTGCAGTCATGACATTGTATGTATAGATGTAATCATTCTAATTTTTCAATTTCTTTTGCCTTTAAGGTTCAATTTTTATCCACACACAGTCGAACTCTGCTACCAGAATTCTCTGCTGCACACTTGGGAGGAGTTGACCATTGTAGCCCTGGGACCTCTGACCTTGAATGTGGCTATGCTTGTTATGGCTATGATCAGATGGCTCTGTCATATATTATTTGGCTCATTCCCGTCCTTCTTGTCAAGGTTTATCATGGCAATGGGAATTTGGACAGTGCTTGACCCTCTGGCAATATTTATAGTAGATGGCATCCTGGGGGTAAGTCAGTTAAAATAACTTGTACATGCAGACTTTAAATAGAATGCACTGTATCTTGGAAAGAATTTGAAAGTGAATGGTGCTATGATGAAACAGACAGTTGCAAATGATTAGTATTTTGTCAGTAGATGAGACGTAAGATCACTAACTATAAATGTGTGCTGTACCAAACAAACTATTATTTGCATATTTCATTGTGACTCACTGTTAAAATTCAGAACCAATGTGCAGCAAAAGGCGAGCTGTTTTTATTTTGAGCCAGGTTCATTCAGTTGTAATGCCATAAGCATTGGAATTTACAAGCCCATCCAACTCCACACTCCATGCCCAAATGCTCATAACTCACCAGAAAACATGTAATCTTTCAAGAACAACAAAAGAATGATGAAAAGAAAACCTAAGGACAAATGTAGCTGATTAAAGATGGGAACTTTCTCCCAGACACTTTTCAGAGGTCAAAACTAGTCCATGAGACAGGAGTGACCATGATCTGTAAAACATAGTATCCAAACTACATTTGTATATTGCAATTTCTGCTTCAATTTTCCCATGAAAATGTGCAGTGAATCAATACTAATCAGAGAGCTTGTTGCATATCTGACTGGTCCTCTCCAACACCTCTAATTTAACAAAATTGTCCTTGTGAACATCGTTTAGCCCCTTCATTATTTTAAATGCCACGATCTAACATCTTTAAGCGTTCGTGTCTATTTGTCACCAAGGTAAGCTTTTTCACGTCTCTGTATGTATCAACAGTGCTTTCAGATGGGTATCATTCTTATGGCCCTGTAGTGAGCCTTATATAAAACATTGCACTACATGGGATGCAGTATGCTAAGTGACACTTAACAAGGGATTTATACAAGCACAACATGGTGTGTTTTATTTTACATTGAATCATTCCGGCGAGTCAAGCTAATACTGTCATTAAACCCTTTGATGACCAGAATTGACCTCGTAAGGAAATTATTTACAAAAGGATGAATATCTTCTTCTCTCGAAACAGACTTCAATTCTATACCCAGTAGTAGAGTGTACTTGATATCGGTTATGCCCAGCTGCATATCACTGCATTTTTTTTCTTTCTGCCAAGCATGTATCCACTCCCCTATTGATTCAAGATCTGCTTGCAGTCGTTTGTTCTCAGTTGTAACGCTAAAACAATCTTTGTATCATTTACATTCCATCACGTTGCTGACAAACTTGCAGATTGCCTCTGTCCCCACAACACTGCCATCCGAGTCACTAAAATCAAAGGTCTCGGCTCTGATTTCTGAGCTACACTAGTGGTCCACAATCATGAAGTGCACCATAATTATGAATGACCACTTTCTGTCTATGGGAATGCCGTAAACTCCATCCACTGCAACCATTTCTTGCCAATTTCATAAATTCTGCCTTACAGACTAACCTATTGTGAGGCAGCTTAGCAAAAGCTTTCTGAAAGACTACGTGGACAATGTCTACCTATGCCCAAAAGCTTCATTATTTCATAAAATTCAATCAAATTAATGATTTAGGATAACGTTTCAAAACGAGATTGAATCCTCTGCTAACATCTACCTCACTTTTTTCACTGGAGCATAGAAGTTAAGAGGTGACCTTACAGAGCTTTATAAAATCATGAAGGATATAGACATAGTGAATGGCAGGTGTCTTTTCCCTCAGGTGGGTGATTTCAAGACAAGGGGGCATATTTTTAAGATGAGAGGAGAAAGATTTTTAAAAAAATATGAGGGGCAACTTTTTTTACACAGAGAGTGGTTCATGTGTGGAATGAACTTCCAGAGGAAGTGGTAGATGCGGGTTCAGTTACATTGTTTAAAAGACATCTGTATAAGGAAATGAATAAGAAATGTTCAGAAGGATATGGGCCAAGTGCATGCTGGTGGGGCTAGTTTAGTTTGGGATTATGGTTGGCATGGACTAGTTGGACCGAAGGGTCTGTTTCCATGCTGTATGACTCTATTACTTAGGTAATCAAAGAAAGCTTCGCTTATGATCGCTATTACCATGATGGTTAAAATTCATCTAATAAGCCTACAGTTCCTTAGTTCATTATGTGTTACCCACCATGAAGATCAGAAATATTTGAACATTTGTCCAATAGAATGGAACTCATCCCAATTTCAGTGAACTTTTAAGGATGAGCTTTGGTTGGGCATCATCTGAAAGTAGCAAAATCCATACTTGCTGACATACCTGCCTCTCCCTTCTTTCCTCCTGTGACTTTGCCCAGGCTCTGATGAAGATCAGTAATATACCAGTGGCTGGATCTTGTCATAGGTCCACCCCACAGTTCACTAAGTTTTGCTTGTAAGTTCATTACTTGAAGCCACACATACTTTCTTTTCCTCAGTTTTTAAGGCTCAGTCTGCTGCCAGGTGCTATGATCAAGGACTAGACCATTCGTGGCGTTTATTGGCAAAATTCCAGTTAGGTTCCTTATGTTTCATGGAAAGAAGGTGATTTTGTAATAGAGCGTGTTCACTCCTTATGTCTTGCGTTCTTCATTGTGCGAGATTTACTGTGATGCGTCACGTCTGTCACTGTGTGTGCCTTGTTTGAGTTTTCTTACCACTAGCAAGTTTGCAAGCTGACTCAGGAAGTGTGATTTGAAGGAGCGCTTTAATATAATTGATGGTCAGTTGCTGTGTTTATTCCTCCACTGTGGACTGTTAGCTGTTTTAGATTTTTAATTCAGATACGAGCAATTGCCTATTGCATAGTTTGTAGTGATTCAAAATGAAAATGCTCGAGGGCATTTTGGACGAAAAGGAGTTCTAGCACAAGGCAAACCAATACATGACATGGAATAGCTGGCAATATAATCATGTAATGTGGTATGAGGCAATTGAATAAAAATTAAAGTTGCATGCTGCCCAATTCAATGTACATTTTAATACAAAGTGATTAGGAGTGAATTTTGAAGTAAAATCCAACAAAATGATATACATTTACTTTGGCAGTTTGGCTGATGGAATGCCTGCAAGATTGAAAGGAATGCTTTTGGGGTCTGACTGCATTTCTTTCTATGAAATAAAACAAGTACAGTGCTGATCACAGAAAGGAAATGGCCTGCTCCATAAAAGCATATAAGTTTTAAATGTGCCAGCCATTTTTTTAAGTAGAGCCTATTATACACTAGGAAGTGAGTGTTCGACTGTGATCTAAGCAGAAGGTCCAACTGACATCATAAGGGAAAGAAAAGAAGAATTTACACAGCATCTTTCACGACTACAGAATTTCCAAGCTACTTTACAGCCAATTAGGTACATTTCATGTGTTACAATGTACGAAATGTGTCAGCCAATTTGCACAGAGCAAGCTCCCACAAACAGCAATGTTTCAATGACCAGGTAGTCTGTTTTGAGGTGTCGATTAAGGGATTAATATTGTCAGTTGCCAAACAGAAGAATTCCCTCCACTCATCTTTAAAGCAATACCATAAGACTTTTTACATCCTCAGAGAGCATGCAAGACTTCAGTTTAATGTTCCACCAGACAGATGGCATCACCAAGAGTTTGAACATTCTCTCAGTACTGCTATTGCACTGGACTCTGAATATCGAGCTCAGGACGCTGGAGTGGGTCTTGAAAGCACAGTTTTCTGACTTCAAGACAAATGTGCAACCCAGTTGAGCCATGCAGGAGAGCTTATATTATTTTAACAATCCTTTCAACTCCCCAAAGAGGACTGGTGGTGTAGTGCATGGTGACCCAACCAGAAAATTGGTGTTCATGTCCCACTCTAGGACTTGAAGGCCAAAGACAGTGCATTCAGAATGTGGCCAATCCTCACAACATATGCTAATGTTAAAAGTGAGAGAGATTCCAAGTCAGCCATGTGATAGAAAGAAATTGGAGCCCCTGAAATCGTTATCCATTGCTCCAGGGTACAACACGCATGTATGTCTCCATGGTAACTTGCAATCCTTATGATGTTAGTTGCCTAGCTAGTGTAGATAAGATTGGTCTGATCCCCATGCTGGTTGGGGTGGACTCAAGAACTTCCTCCTTGCCTTACCTGTTGTGGAGATTGTGGCATTGTGAGTTGGACCTATTGTGTAAGGGTCTGAAAGAGTTAATGCCAAGGACTCTGTTAAGCACCACCTGCTGTGGTGATGTCATATCGGCAGAACAGCTTTGGAGTTGAAAGGAGTAAGACCCAGCGTTTGGGTCTTCCTCATTGTCTCTGTAACAGTACATGTTATATTAATGTAGCTTGTATGTGTTTTGCAGTCATGCAATCAATTACACTGTCGGCAGCAGGGTGGCTCAGTGGTTAGCATTGCTGCCTCATAGTGCTAGGGACTGGGGTTCGATTCCAGACTTGGGTCACTGTCTGTATAGAGTTTGCATGTTCTCCCCACATTTGTATAGGTTTTCTCCTGGTGCTCCAGTTTCCTCCCACAGTCCAAAGATATGAAGTTAAGTCAATTGGCCATGCTAAATTGCCCGTTGATGTGCAGGTTAGGTGGGATAACCATAGCAAAAAACCCACGTAGGGCTACAGGAACTGGGTGTGATGCTGTTTGCAGGATCGGTGCATACTCAATGGGCTGAATTTCTCTTTCTGCACTGTAGGGATTTTTTGTTTTTTTGAGACATGAGTCTCTTAATAGACAACCAGTTAGTTTTTCTGTACCACACACCAGATCAAAAGAGGATGTTGGCAGTAAATCCATTAGATAGCTCATCCAACATGATGAGTAGTGGTGAGCATTCATCTTGCAACATCGTAGCAAGTTGCAGAGGTTTCTTCAGGCACAACTTTAAAAAGGCTGCTCAAAAAGCAGCTTGAAAGAACCAAATGTTTGCAAATGCTTAAGTAGAGAATTTAATATTAAGATTCAACAAGGCAGAATGTACAATAGATGGTTAAAAGCCCTTCAGACCTGAAAAGAGACTCACAGCAGCAGGAGAGCTAAGAACTCCATGGAACTGAAGCATTGGCTACAGCAATGCAGTTACAGAGCCAATGAGTTGTCTAAGTAGAG